ATATTTATATATATATTTATATAGAAGTAAAAAACATACATAATATATATTTTTTCTAGATACGTAATGTTTAGTAATAAATGCCGAATTTATTTAGTAATGCAAATATGTTACTTTATGATTTTATTATTTTGCATTGTTTTCTGTTAGATTGCATTTAATTTGCTTTTTTGTTTTTTGTTTTTTTTTTTCTATTTAGTTGTATTTATTTCATTTATTTTGTTTCTACACTTCTTCTGAATTGTTTTTGACATTGATTTTTTAAAAATCCAAACTCTTTTGTTAATAATTTAATGTGACGTATATTAGTTACACAGTAGTATACACATTTTTATTCGCCGCAAGTTGGACTCATTGATAATACATGCAAATGATGTTTTACATATATAGATCTTATGCTAAAAACTTTAGTTTAGAGGCGATTTATATGCATATTTTGTTCTTGACTTCAGATTTACAGTCGTCTTTATTAAGTTTACGTTTCATGATTTCTCATTACGCATTGCTATATACTTGTCACTATAATTTCAAATTATCTTTTTACAAGTTTCTAATAACATTTTTTTTTTTTAATATTTTTTTCTTGTATATTGTACTTGTATATTACGACACATTCGTTATTCCCTTATGTGTGTAGAAAAATAATATGATCAAGACTGAAGAATTGCAAAACTTTTGTGTGTTATTCACACATAACGTGATAATACAGTGTCTCAATTAATTTTGTAAGTCAAAAAAAAAGAAAAGAGTATAATGTATAGAAAGAGAGAGAGAGAGAGATCTACTTTAATATATAATTTTTGTATATGTAAGTTAATAATCGTATATTAAAACCGTTTATATTCTACATAATCACACAATAGTACTTTGTTCTATATAAATCATTATCAACCGATACATAATAAAACGTTTGACATATACGTTACATAGATCGTTATATATTACATACATGTATATATTATATATATATATGTAATGTATAACATATATGTTGTTATGTCAATTGGTAATCATAAACATATTTTTCGTCAATTGATGCTTTCTAATTAGCGATATAAGTCGACGCAACGGTCATTCTGTCTTTGTGTTTCTCAATGAATATTAAACAGGGACAAAATGATTGTGTAGTAGACTTGTGTCGCTAATTGGAAGACATCAAATGTTATAGCGTTTTGGAGATCGATTATATGGGTTGATAGTTTCTGAAGCGATTAATGACGTCGATATATATATTTGGCACATCAATCAACTTGCTTGATTTATTAAAATGACGTCATTAATCGCTCCAGGAGCAATTCAATCTGTATCGGTCAAGAATGCTATTAGAGATTCTATTAATATAATAATATAACTACAAATAAATAAATTTATTTGAAAAGCATTACATTCTTCTTTTACTATTGTATGAAAGGATACTTTTTCATGTAAAAATATATTTATAATATGTATATATTTACACAAACAATTTCTATTTTTCTTTTTCTCTTTCCAAAATATCTGATATACACTCTGTTTACTGAAAGAATATCCTCAGAGCGGACAAAAACTCGTCCGCTTCACGCGTATCCCTTATCAGAAAGTCCCCCACTCTCCGTAGCCATTGCTGCCAGCAAGAGCAGTCAGAGAGATGCCAGATCGTGCCGAACAACATCGAGAGTATCGAAGTGGTGGTGGTATCCCGCTTCAACACTCTCGATGCTGTCTGGCACGATCTGGCATCTGTGAGTCATACGAAAAACCGCAATAGCTTTTCCGCTCTGTAAAGACCGAAGCACAGACGTTTGCTTTCGTTTTCAACCCTCCAATCCAGCTTTTCGTTTTCATCCCTACTTCTTGTTCTAGAAAGCTTTGATTGGTTGATTCTCTTATGCCTCATGCGTTAAGCGTTATACAAAAGTCTGTGCTTCGACCTTTACTACAACTACAACCTTCATAGTAGCAGAGAGAAGCCTGAGAGCGGCCAGGTCCATAAGAGAATGTGTAATCACTTTTCCGCCCCGTAAACTAGCGCATGTACACGACTGATACACATTGGAACTACGCAGCCAGTCCACGAGCGACATGTCGGTGCACTATGTCCACAGCGTGCGGTTCTATTCTGTGCAATATGCACGAGTTTAAATGGTCACCTTCTTCAGGCGTGTATATTCGCGAGCGTGGATTTGATTTCTTTTGAAATTTAAAATGATCGGAGTCGCGTGATGAGAAGATACAAAAGGAGAACAGAAAAGGATAAAAAAAAAAACATTGCAACTTTTCACACAACATAAATGTTATATACAAGAAAAGATATGATAATGAAGAAAATAATATTATTTTAGCGAGCAGCATCAGAACTCGTGGAGTGTATCATCTCCTTTTACATCATCATTTGCTGCTTTTGCTTTATAAATTTTATTTTATTTTATCAAAAACTACATATATACGTATAAATACAAATTACACAAAAAGACATGTATATTACACAAAGGTGTTTTGCCGATACACAAATATATACGTCTGAAAAGTTGCAATTCCAAAAAGAATATCTATTACTCTGCTTTATTACAATTCTTTATCAGTGTGTTTTTCAATTTTCAAGTTTCATTTTACAATTTTTTATACATTCTAATAGAATACAATAAAGTTTACATATATTACATATAACATACAATATTATACAATATACATAGTATATATAATCCTACCTACCTATCTTAAACATCTGACATATCTTAAACGTTACTAGCCTCATTAATTAGGATTAAGGCTGCGTAACAGCCTTGATCCTAATTGTACATTTTTATTCCTTCTACCTACCTACCTCCGATCTAACATATTTCTTATCTATCCGGCCTAATTTATTTTCTACAAGCGCTTGTAGATAATAAATCCCTACCTATACACAGATAACTACCTACCTACCTATTTACTTTGAAAAGTTTTAAAACCTATCAAATATATTTTACGCGAGGGGCAATTGTTTTAAAATTAA